GTTGGAAACAATGCACATGAGAAGACAATGAATCAACATCTTTAAAGTACCGAAAGAAAAAAAAACCTGTCAACCCAGTATTCCATATCCAGCAAAAATATCTTTCAAAAAATGAAAACAGAATACTTTTTGTAGACATATAAAATCCAAAAGAATTCATCACCAGCAGACTTGCACTACTAAGAAATGTTAAAGGAAGTCCTTCAGAAAGGATGAGAACGATACCAGATGGAGATAAGAATCCACACAAGGGACCAAAAAACACAGAAAATAGTAACTACATGAGTAAATATGTGATTGATTTTCTTATTATCTAAATCTGTTCAAAAGATAATTGACTGATTAAATAAAAATAACAATGTTGTATGGGAAATAAAATGTGTGATCACAGATCGATGACCAGGAAAAAAGAAGTAAACTATTGAAATGTTCTTATAATATACATGAAGTTGTATACTCTTACTTGAAGGTAGATTGTAATAATTTAATGATATATACTATAAAGACTAAAGCAACCACTAAAATAATGAAACAGAGTTATAGATAATAAGCCAGCAAAGGAAATTAAATGGAATCATTAAAAAAAAAAAACTTCAATTAATCCAAAAGAAGCCAAAAAGTGGAAAAAATGGAATAAAGAATACATGGGACAAGTAGAAAATAGCAAAAAGACATTTAAATATAAACATGTTAATAATGACATTAAATATAAATGGTCTAAATACCTGTAAAGACTCCAGAAGGAACAGAGCTCTGCCAACACTTCGATTTTAGCCCCCTAAAACTCATTTTGGACTTCTGACCTCCAGAACAATAAGATAATAAATTTGTTTTGTTTCAAGCCATTAAATTCATGATAATCTGTTACAGCAACAACAGGAAACTAATACAGATTTGGGCACCTAAAAGTGGGATGCTACTGTAACAAGTAACTAAAAATACGGAAGCGGCTCTGGCATTGAATAATGAGCAGAGGCTGAAAAAATTTTGAAGAGCATGGAAGAAAAAAACCTAGTCTGCCACTAACAGACCCTTAGTGGAAATATGGATGTTAAAGACTCTGCTAGTGAGAACTCAAAATGAAGTAAACAGCATGGTAGAGAAAACCTATATCATCTTAGGGAATACTTTAAATCATTGTGAACAGACCATTAGTAGAAACATGGACATTAAAAACGATGCTTGTAAGGGCTAAAAAGGAAATGGAAACCGGAAGACACAGGATCCTTGTTACATAATGGCAGAAAGCTTAGCTGAATCGTGTCCTGGAGTAATACAGAAAGCAAAACTTGTAAAAGATGAACTTGGACATTTAGCTGAGACTTCCAAGCAAAGTGCTGAAGATGCAGTCTGGTTTCTCCTTGCTGCTTAGAGTAAAAGATGAGAGAAAAGAGAGAGATGGAGGGATGAGCTGATGAGCAGGAAGAAACTAGGACCTCTCAGCTTATTTGGACTGCAAAAGACAATAAAATGAGGAGATTCACGGCCAGGAAATTCTGCTCTGGGGTGAAAACCACAGGTGTAGCTGAACAACCTTTTGCTAGTGCCTCTGAAGGATCAAAAGTTCAGAAGATTCGTGCTCGCTTTGGCAGCACATATACTAAAATTGGAACGATACAGAGAAGATTAGCATGGCCCCTGCGCAAGGACACGCAAATTCGTGAAGCGTTCCATATTTTTTGGAACACTACATCAAAAACTAATGATGTAATGTATGGTGATTAACATAACAAAAAAATTCTAAAAAAAAGTTCAGAAGATTCAATCACACAGAGGGCTCTTTGAAGAGATCAGGTATGTGACTCATGCATCCCCTCGGCCATCGCAGCACAGGTCAGGAATAGAGATGGGGCTATCTAAGAAAGATCTGTAGGGGGCCTCTTGTCCCATGGACAGGAGACCCTAAAGGTTCCTAGAATGTTATACCAGCAGAAACACTGCCAACTTGTACTGAAGGAAACTGAAAGGATGAAATAAGAAAAAGCTGAAGGACTTTGATAATTCTACAGGCAGGGAACAGGCTGATAAAACTACTCAACCACAAACACGTGCTACTCTGCCTGAAAAAGGAAGAATAACTCAAAGGAATGAGTCATGGGCCCAGAAGGCAGAGCCAAGGACCACACAGGATTATTCCCAAGCCCCAAAACTCAATAGAGTTTGCCTTGCTGGATTTCAAAGTTTCTTGGGATTGGTGGCCCCTTTCTTCTTCCCATTTCCTTTCTATTAGCAGGGCTATCTATAATAAGCAACCTACATTTGTCCCAACATTGTATTTGGAAAGCAGATTACCTGTTCCCTACTCTTCACAGATCCATAGATGGAGAGGAGTTTTGCCCCCAAATTTATGATACTCAGAGTCAGTCATACCTAATTTAGATTATTTAGATAATCAGGTTTGGAATTTTTCAGCTGACGAGATCGGATAAGATTTTGGACTTTGAGCTGATGCCACAATGGGCTGAGACTTTTGGAGAATATTGCGATGAGGTGAATGTATCTTGCGTGTGGGACAGACATGAATCCTTGGGGACTAGAGGGTAGATGGTGTGGTAAGCAAAATAATGGCTCCCCAAAGATGTCCACGTCCTACTGCCAGAACATGTAACTATGTTACCTTACATTGCAAAAGGGATTTGAGCATATGATTAAATTACAGATCTTGAGGTGGAGAGATTAGGCAGGATTATCCAGTTAGGCCCAATATAATCACAAGGGTCCTTTAGGGAAAGTCCTCAGTCAACCTCCCATAATGAAGTTACTTTTTCCACCAAAGAAGCTGCAAATCCCTCCCCATGGCTGGAGCCTGCTACACATCCCAGAGGTAATTGCCAAAGCAAAGAACACACAAAGTAACAGAATTCTTGCCTAAGAAGCCCACATTTGTGGAATAAATAAGTGAATGAGTCGTAAGTAAAGGAGCACATAGGACAGAGGAAATTTTAATTCAGTTAAAAATGTGTATTTGTAACCTACTACATGCCATGCATGGTACTTGGTTCAAGGGATGTAGGGATGAATCTAAATAGAAATGACTTCTGCCTTAATGAAGCATGACCTCTCAATAGTAACTGAGCAGACTTTGTACAAGGCAAAAAGAAAAACAATTCCAACTGTATTCTCTTAACCACACCCAGCTTAGGAACTTCACCAATCCCTTAGTAAGAACAAATGGAAATTAGCATATCCATAGTCTTGTTATGTATCATCATATAGTATCTGTAGATTTATTATATACCATTAACAAGGCCTAAGTGATCTCTACAGTATATATATGTAAATCTCATCTCTTACTATTGGTCCAGCCATTCTAAAATAATCCTTTTGCCGTCTTGACAAAAGGCTGAGTTAAAAGGACCCTGCCAGAAGTTTTCACAGAGGAATGCCCAAACTGCCTGACTATCATATCTAATCAGGTCACTCCCCTGCAGCAACCTCCGCAAAGGCCCCCACTGCTCTGAGAGTGAAGTACAAAACTACTAACCTGGCACCACAAGCGAGGATAAGAATTACAATCGTTCACAAGTATACATGGCCTCCCACCTATCAGAACGGATACTGGCCATAAATCATCAGTGTATCTAAGCCCCTGGATATCAGCTAAATATCAGTTCTGCCCACGGGGTCCAATGTAACCCAGCCCCTCCCTGCCTCTCCAGACACTTGCCACCCCTTAGCCACACTAGACACCTTGCTATCGGTTTCTGCCTTCAGACCTTCATACATACTATTTTCCCTGCCCAGAGTGCTCTGAATTCCCACCCCTCCCCCTACACCAGGCTTGCTATTCATTTTTCAAGTCTCTGCCGACACATCCATTTTCAGGGTAACCTTTACCTGACCACTACTATCTCTCCACCCTGGTTAAATCAGATCTCCCGGTACTACTCGTTTTGGCAGCCTATACATCCCCTTCATAGTAAGGACAGCTATTATAATTCAATAATTCCCTGTGCAATGACTGTTTCTTTCACTATATTTTAGAACGGCCTGCACCTATCTTTACTTACTCTTGCTGGTAATCCTATTAGCATGTTGCCTGGTACACAGCATGAGTTCCATATTAATAGCTAGGACTTACTGGGGGTCTATTACAGGTTTCAGACACTGTTTTAACCATTTCGTTGGAGTAGCTCCTCTAATCCTTGTAACAGCCCCATGAGGTAGGTACTAGTATTTTAGATGAGAACATAGGCACAGTAAGGCTAAGGGATTGCCCAAAGTCTCAAAGCCAGTAAGTGGTAGGGTTGGAATTTGATCTCAGGCAGTTGGGGTTTTAAGAAGCACACCACAGTCCCTTGATAACTGAGAACCAAGTAAGCTGCACCTCTAAGAGAATACAGCCATAAGACATCCTCTGTGCTCATGTACCCATTAAATAGGAGAGAGATATATATGAATAAGAATAGGTGCAGTGGCGCCTGGGTGGCTCCGTCATTAAGCGTCTGCCTTCGGCTCAGGTCATGATCCCGGGGTCCTGGGATCGAGCCCCGCATCAGGCTCCCTGCCCCGTGGGGGAGAGCCTGCTTCTGCCTCTGCCTCTCCCACTCCCCCTGCTTGTGCTCTCTCTCTCGCTATCTGTCAAATAAATAAATAAAATCTTTAAAAAAAAAAAAAGGAATAGGTGTAGATATAGTACAAACACGGGTAAAGATATAGATGACAGTTGAAGACGTAACCTGTAAAAATAATGTGGCTGGCCAATGGCTTCCAAGGGCTTCGCGGTTTCACTCAACTTGAGACCCCCAGCAAAACACCCAAGGAAATATTTCACCGCCAAACCAAATACTTCACAACCATGCCTCTAGTGCCCCCATCCCACCCTCAGAACACCCCCTTGGTTATCCGAACACTCTTGACATTTCTGAACATACCTTACGACGATAACACAAGAGAAATCGCAGAGGTGATCCTCTGACAAACACACACCACATGAACACTCCCCAGACAGATGCTCCTCCCCAAGTTCCGCCTCCATGCAAAGGCGGAGGTGCCTTTACCTTGAAATAAATATGCTTTGCTGGCATTGTGCAGCCCGGACACCTGAGTGACTCCAAGAGTGGTGTTCACGAGGTCGAGCTCCGTGATAATATCCATCTGCAGGTCAGGGTCCGTCCCAAAGCCCACCACTGAAAAAGAACAGAGAGCCGTCTTGGCTTCAAATACAGACTGCTAGCAGCAAAACAGAACAGAAATTATAGACGCCTGGAGTGGCAGGGAATACAAGAAAGCCATTGATGAGCGTGTGGAGATGCAACCTTCTGGAGTGCAAAGGGAGAACAACTCTGCTCCACGGCCCCCGTGATATTGGAGTTTCTTTGTCCCTTCCCCCACCCTCACTCCCCATTCATTATGGATTGAGGATCCCTTATCCAAAACCCTCAGAGCCAAATAGATCCCAGATTCAGAACGTATCATATGTTGGAAAGGTAATATGCCCTAAAAACTACATTTTATGTTAACACCCTGAGCAAAGTCTGAATCAGTACCCCATAATCAAACACAGTATTTCTGGACCAAGAAGTATGCTGTTTTCTTCTAGCTGGCAAAACAAAGACTATATGTAGCCTCCTGTCAGTTGAGGTCAAGTTTCGCCACCAAATGAGTCCAGCTCAGGGTAGCTTTTGTTGTCACATGAGTTATGAAGAAACTTCGGGCTTCCAAACTTTTTCAGATCTGGGGACTGTGGCTACAGGATCGTGGCCCTGATCTACCCGCTTCCCAAACTGATGCAGCAGCAAAACCTGACACCACCTCCACAGGGCGCTCCCTCTGCATCAGGCACAGCCGTGATACCATGATGCCCAGGAGGGCCATGCCCCTGTTGGAGCAGGGTGGCGGAGGGACTGGCCCAGAAAGTGAAACGAGAGATGTATGTTCCCTCCAAAGGGATCCCTGAATGGAAAGTTAAATTCCCGGACAACTGTGTTGGAGAACCTTAGTTCAGAGAAACATGGCCAAGAGCCCCCTATCGCCCCATCTGAGAAAGGCAGAAAGTGAAGGCTTGTCTCTCACCCAGGGGGCGTTCTGTGCAATGACACATTCATGATTGCAAAGTGACTTCCAATGATAAGTATTAATAAGGCTAGAGATCACTGGAAGGGACTGTGGGCAAGCCATTCATAAGGGCAGCATCTATCTACACTTAACATCTCAGGAGTGCGATTCTGATTGCACGGTCGGAAATGTTTTAATCAGCTACGGCTGTCAACTTCTGTCTGATGGCAAAGCAGTTGCCGAGGCAAGATCTGGAAACCCAATCTGTCCCAGAGAGACTGAGTGAATGGATGTTCATCAGGACATCGTGGACTATTACAACCTCCTCTGTCCTCCTGCCTTCACCCCTCACCCCACAGATTTGGGGAAGGAAATCTGCCCTCTCCTTACTCTTTTCCTATGAGGAAAACAGGAGCTACTATAGCAACAGAAGGTTGGGCTAGGCAGGCTCGCCAAGGCAAAGGGTTAAACTGAAGGCACAGTGCATAAACTGCATTCTCGGTTTCTCCTCGCCTTCTGAACTAAAGGTTCAATTTCCCCCTTCCAAATGCAGCCCGTTATGAGACCAGTTTACTCAAGGACAGCTCTTCCTTCTCTCCATTCTGCATCCATTCATCCATGCAGTACCTTTCCAACAGGTATTAGTGAGCGCTTACAATGTAACACACAGTGCTGGGGACTGGAGCTGTCCTCACAGAGCACGCAGTCCTGAGCTAACGAGTGAAGAGGAGGCAAAAAATAAAATAAAATAAAATAAAATCATCTGAGATGGCAATAAATGCCATGCAGAAAATAAAACAGAGTCATGGAATACAAAGCAACTTGGGTGGGGCTTTAGAAAGGGCAGTCAGGAAGGGCTCCTTTGAGCGGAAACCTGAATGCCTGCAGGGCTGGCAGTGGCAAGATCTGGAAGGGGACAGGTTTCCAGCAATAGAGAATAGCCCACTGCAAACCAGGAACAGACCTAGCACGTTCGGGCCACAGATAAAAGGCCAGTGTGGCTGGAGCAGAATGGGCAGGGAGAGAGTGTCCAAAAATGAGGCCAAAGAGTAGGGCCTGTTTTTTGAGCCACAGCAAGGAGATGGATATTATTCTAATTGCAATTAGGAAATCATTGGAGGGCTTAAGGTGTGTGTTGAAGAGGAGGAGATGCTCCTACTTTACATCATGATCTCACGTAAGTTCCCATCCTACCTGCTCATCCCTCACAGACTCCATTCACAAAGACTGGTGGAATACCTACTCCGTGCAAAGGACTGAGCCACTGGGTGTCTATCAGCCCAAGTCACGGTGATGTTTTTCTCCAAGTGAGCTCAGATATCAGCAGTTCTGTGATCACCTTGAAAAGGCAGGAAAAGAACTAATATTTCAGTTTGATCTATAGTGTTGTGCACCTATAAGGCAAAAATTAAATCAAAAGGGATCTCAGAGGACTTCCAAGCTGGTCTTTCTCTGGCTAGGAATTCGGAAAGTGAGCTGGGGAATGTGCCCTTAGCTGGACAGGAGAAGACAGAAGTGTCCCTGGAGCCCCACTGCCTTGCACAGGGGCTGACAGCTGGTACGCCCTGAATTTAGGACCTAAATAATTAACTGATGAGTGTGCACACCATCACTGCTTCGGGTACAATGACCTCCAAGCAATATGCCTATCTAGGGATACCACCAGACAACAGGATGGCATTCAGGCCAAGGAAACAATCTTTAAAAAAACTGTGGTTGAGGGGCGCCTGGGTGGCTCAGTCGGTTAAGCGGCTGCCTTTGGCTCAGGTCATGATCCCAGGATCCTGGGATCGAGCCCCGAAGTGGGCTCCCTGCTCAGCGGGGAACCTGCTTCTCCCTCTCCCTCTGCTGCTGCCCCTGCTTGTTCTCTCTCTCTGTGTGTGTCAAATAAATAAATAAAAATTAAAAAAAAAAAAAACCTGTGGTTGACTTGATTATTGGATTCAAATCTTTACCACTCCCAGATCCACACCCTTTGCTGCGTGGCTTTGCAGTTCCTTCCACTAGAGTGAAAGTAAACCTCTGCATCCTTTGACTTTGAGACTCGCCATCTAACTTACTTGGATCATTGGGATGCTTGGGATGTTAGCAATGTTACACATGCAGAGGCCTGAACGTGCTTGTGGGGCAGGGCTTGTTCTCTTGTACCTCTGCACCATGATGAAAAGAACATGGCCTCACTGCTCCCCTGGTCCAAGGAGACGGAGACACATAGAGCAGACACCCCACTTGAGTTTGGCACCATGCCCAGCCAAACCTGACCTAGATGAGCCAGGAACAGAACAACCTACAGACATGTGAACCAAAACAAATGTAGTTTTAAGCCACTGAGTTCTGGATGGTTTGGTATGCGATATTCTTGTGGTAGTAGTTGACCGAAGCAGGGACTAAAGACCCACTATAATCATCATCCTTAAAATGCTCCCAGACTAGGAGCCCTGCAACTAGACAAGACTAAAAGGCACCCAAACAGATTCTGTAGAACTAGCAGAACACCCCACTGGTGCCCTTGGATCCCTGTCCCCAAATTAGAACACAGTACACTCCATCCACAAAGTGTTGTGGAAACAACACTAAACCAAGAGCCAGTTTCAGTCCTGTCTCTTCCCCCTACTAACTCTTAGAAAAACAACTTCACTTCTCTGAGCCTCAGTTCCCTCATCTGTAAAATGAGGACGATCATACCTGCCTCCCGGCCTCCTAAGGTTTTGGTGATAACTATGTGGAACACGACTAGCACGTACGTGGTGCCCAGCTGGGCTTTGCAGCATCTGTCTTTCATAAGACAGCTCCCTGGTCCTCAACTCCACTGGAATTGTGCGAAACGTACAGATGCCTCCCTTCCTCCCAAGCCCTCCACATGCCCAACTGACCTGGAAGGGCTTCTTGCTCTGGCTGCGCTTAGGGAAATCTAAATATTAAGTCTACACTCATTCCTCCTCCTATAGCCCACAAGTGAAGGGATCCCCTGGTTTTGAGATAACTGTATTGCTCTTGTTATGAAAACATCCCATAAAAGCAGAACAAGAGAAATCAATTAGGCTTCCAGATACACTTTTCTCCCCTCCCTTTAATTGGTCTCCTTCAGGATGAAAATGCCTTGTGCCAACAGCAGGATGTGTAAAAGAGAGCACTTTACACACTGCCTAGGGAATCAGAAAATCTATTAATAAGGTAGCATTTACATGGCCTCTCCTGAACCTTATGCAGTATGACAGCGTTGGTTCCATAAAAATAATTTTTTTTTATTTTAATGTTTCTGCTTCTTATCCAAGCATGGAGCTCCTGCCCTTTCCAAGGAAACTATTAAAGTTCTCTACTTTGGCCACAGCTACTCTACAAATGGCTGAGGCTGGGAACTGGAATTAAGCAGGATAAAAGGTATCTGGGGAAGAAACATTTTTTTTTTTTAAGATTTTATTTATTTATTTGAAAGAGAGAGAATGAGAGATAGAGAGCACGAGAGGGAAGAGGGTCAGAGGGAGAAGCAGACTCCCCGCCGAGCAGGGAGCCCGATGCGGGACTCGATCCCGGGACTCCAGGATCATGACCCGAGCCGAAGGCAGTCGCTTTACCAACTGAGCCACCCAGGCACCCAGGGAAGAAACATTTTTTAAAACCTGGAAGGCAGTATGTCACCGTGGGAGAAGCACTTGGGGCCTGGCTCTGGGATTCAGAACCTCCACCCTAATCTACACCTGCTATTTGTTGGCCACCCCACAGTCCTGCCCAGGGAGTGCTCAGGCCCAAAGACCATTCAGTACACCTTCAGGGTCCTGGGCATAAGCTCCCAAGCAAATCCTCCTGGGCCTGGATCACTCCAAATCTAATCTGGGCTCACTGTCCGCGATGGCCCCTGTCTTCTCCTGCTCAACACAGAGAAATAGGATACTGAAGAGATGCTCCAAGACCTCAGTTAACAGGATTTCACAACCAGTTGATGGGATTCAGACCCCTGGACTCCTGCAAAGATCCCCAAAAGCAATATCCTTGAAGAATATGTTCTATGCCTGTTCTAAGTCAGCCAAATATTGCACGTAATCACTGCAGGCTGGGGGCTCTGTTCACAGCTCTATTATTTCAGAGCTAATGAAGAGCCAGGTAAAGTGCTTCAAAAAGGAAAAGCTCTCCTTTCCAGCAGGTGGCAGCAAAAGGCAGCAAAAGGGGCCCCAGGGGCTCCCCACAGCCCCCACCCCCCAGCCCCCAACCACCACCACCATCCTGGCCTGGTGACCAAAACAAACAGGAAAGGGAATTTTGTATTCATCACACAGTCAAGCCATCGGAGAAAACTCGTGGACTTAATACGTTATTACCACAAATAATGTAGCCTTCTAAATTGTCATTATTTAAGTATGTATCTGGAAATCCCAGAGTGATCCTTCATCCAGAAATAACAAGAACTGGAGAACAGCACCTCCTATCTTGCCTCCATTTTACTCTCTTAAAACAAGTTCCCTGAACAATGAGCAATTTAAGCAGCTTCCTGTGACACCTATCATTAGATCTTTTCATATGTAACTGCTACTGCACTGCAGGGCTGCTTTAATTAAAATGTGCCTGATATCATCTATTCATTTCCATTAAAAGGCGATATCTGAGCAGCTCACTAAGTGAACCCCATGTTTATTTCATCCTGGACTGTTAACAGCCCAGACAACAATTGTCCCACTTGACAAACTTTCCAAGCAGCTGTTTGGATCCTGATAAACTAATCACAAGCCAGCCTCTGCTACCAAAGAGAGTGGAGGTTTGATGCAGGAATGGTGGTTCCTGGGCAAATCAAAGAGGCTGCCCCCCCTGCCCCCGAAAACTGCTGATCATACCCCTTCAAGAGACAAGAAATTGTAAGTGAAGAACTTGAGATATAATTCCAAAACCACCCCCCATACTGATTCTTATGATAATTTTTGTAGAAGAAATATGTGGCCTCTGATGTTCAAGAAGTGCCAAGGGGCACAGAAAACCCACGGTCCCTAGCAACTGCCACAACCCATAGGGCAGATCCTCCCATGCTCCCCTGCCTGTGCACAGGCTCTGCCCTCTGCCTGGAATGCCTTCCCCACTCTGCCCACCTGGAAAACTCCCTGTAAAGCCTTCAAACACAACTCTTAATGTCACCTCCTGATTAAAGCCTTCCTTGACCACCAACCACCCCTCCCCAAAATTCATTCCTACCATTTCTCCTCTGTTTTGCTTCCATTGAAACTTCTTATATTCCCTCCTCTCCTACTACCCCGCCCCCACTCCCTCCCATCAAGCTGTAGGGCAAAAAAAATGTTCTCCAGTTTCTACCTAGATAATCAGCTAAGCTTTAAGTTCCTGGAAGTCAAGGACCAAGTCGTTTTCTCTCTGCATAAGCAATCCTGGCACCCAGCAAGGCGCTCAACTGTTCCTTGAATGAGTGAATAAATGCATGAATGAATCTCTCCTACAACAGAATTTTTACAAGATTGAAAGGGGGTTGGTGTGCGGAAGGGGAAAAGGCTGTGTTCTTCAAGGTCTCCACTAGCAATGCACCCTGGAGGCACAGTCCATTCCGAATGGGGGCACTTTTTGCCGACTTTTCAAAGAACTAATGAGAACAAAGGATTTAGGCATACCGGTAAGGATGTGCACGTGAGGATGTGAAATGACCAAGAAGCTGCCCCCTCCCCCATCTAGTTTCTCTCTCCTCCATCCCTCCATTAAGATGCCCACCAGCACCAGATTCTCCGGGCACGGGACTGTTAGCCCAGTTTCTGCACTAGCCTCGCCCGTCCTGATTTTCTGGGGGCACATTTCTTCAAGTGTGCTCTTGGTTTTAAAAGCCTAGCCCATCCCGATGTGCCCATACCCAAGAAGCAACTATTCTAGACTGGACTGAGCCTTGCCGTCCCTGCAACCATGGGAAGCTCAGATGAAGATAGGAAAAGCAGGAGGATTCATTCCTTTTGTCCCTGGAGAAGTCCAAACCCGTGGCTCTTCCATTAAGCAACGGGAAAGCTGCTACCCTCTCAGACCTGGGTAAATGGAAAAGACCAGCAGGAAGCTCTAGACGCCCAACTTTGTATCCTCAGGCGGGCTAAGTGCCAAAGAGGGGCGCCTGGGGTACAGGCGGAGGGAACTTTCAGGCCAACCAAGGCACGGCACCCTCCCCAGCCCTTTCCCCATAAACTTGCTGCCTGGCCTGGGATGCAGGCTATGCCTCTAGAAAGGGAAATGCGAGTGGTAAAAGAAGAAAAGATAAAGGGAGGGGTGACTGACTACACGCCGGTTCTGGGGTGCAAGGTCGGCAGCGCGTGCTAAGGCTGGCTAGCACAGGAATAAAAATTCGCCACGCTCCCACCCCCACCCCCAGCATGGGAGAGCTGTATTTTTGTCCATACTGTGCCTACTCCACCCCCACCCCACCCCACCCCACCTTCCCACCTCTACTATGAGACCCGGGGAGAAGACGACTGAGAAAGGGTCTCCAAACCCCTGGAGATAATGGGGGCTGGGGGCGAGTGGGAGCGGATGGAAGGAGGTGCTCTTAAGAGTCCTCACAACTGAGTCTCTGAAATCAGAACGAAGGGGGGACTTCAGAAATTACGCCAATTATCCTCGTCCTCCCTCCACAATCCCCAACCTGCAATTATAGCAAGGGAAAACTGGTTGGGAGCTTGAGAAAATCTCCCTGGATTGTCTCCACGGTTCCAATTCCCCCGAATTATTGTTCGTCCAGCCCTTGGAGACAGGGTGGAGGGGGAGAGAAGGCTCCTGGAGTTCCCCTGGGGAGAGTCAGGAGTCGACCAGGCGAGACCACGGAATCCCGCGGTTCGCCCGCAGCCCTCACCCGTGCCGTGCCCTCCCCGGCTGCAGCCACGCCTGCCCGCCGGCCGGAAGCGCTCTCTCTGCGGGTGCGACTCCCGCGGCTGCCACTTCCCGGCCCGACCCCGCGCAGGGAGAGCGGTTTCCACCGCACCTTTCAAGTTCGGGGCTGTGGGGCTCACGGGCCGAACCTGCTGTGGTTTCGACCCGGAAGCTGGTTACTAGGAGCAGGAGGGTGCGCCGGCTCGGCCGCGCCCCTCACTCCGGCGTCCTCGAGGCCGCGTCTCCAAGGAAGGGGGCACTCATGGGGGCATCTTCCAGCCCGTGAGTCCCACTTCTCACCCTTTCACCTGGAGCAGGGCAGAGAGATCCGAGGGACCCATCCACGCCGCGCCGCCCTTTCCGGGCCAGCGCGGAGCTCGTCTCCGGGTCTCCCAACGCCTGTGCGGGCACTGGGCACAGCGGCACGGCTCCCCCTTCCCCGGGTTGCCTCCGACCGCCCCAGCGGTGCTTACCTGTCCTGGCGGTGCACACACAGAACCACACAACTAAAATCACATCCCTCGGCATCGCTCCCGAGGGTCCCCGCCAAACGGGGCGCGCGGAAACCAGGAGGAAACAAATGCGCCTGGATCCCGAGGCGCGCCGGGCACGGAGCCGCCAAACTTGCTAGCGGGCGGCGGGGGAGGAGGCTCGGCAGCGCCCGGTGCTGCGCTCGGGGATCGCGCCCGGCAAGGCGGCCCCGGCCGCCCCGCCCCCAGCCCGCCCCCCACCGCGGGCGGCGGCGGCGCGGGGTTCGGGCCCCGGCCCCCAGCTGCGGCTGCGCCCTTCTGGGAGCTAGGGCGGGAGCGCGGGGCTCGGTCCCTCCTGCAGGTTGCGCTCGGCGCCGGGATCGGGTTCTCCTGCTTCGTCCGCCAAGCTGCGAGGACCCGGACGGCAGGCACGGAAGCCGCTACTACCAGGAGCACCCGACCTGGAGTCCCGGGACGCGCGGCCGAAAGGGAGACGCCGAAGACGCCAGGCGCCTCCTCGGCTTCACGCGCTCCAGCCCAGCCGAGCTGGCCTCGCCACTGTCGCCGGCTCTGCTTCGCCGCCCCGGTGGGGGCTGCCGAAGTTGCCACAGTTCATCCCGGCCGAGACGAAGAAACGCCGAGCCCTCGCGGGTGGGCTTCCCCCCCGCCCCTCCACGGGAACCGTGACCCTGGCGGCGCCACGGAGCGCGCCCAGCCCCTCCCCGGAAAACAATTACTCGGGATTTGCTCAGGCAACTGCGCGGGGAGGGGCGGTGCACTGAGGGGGATGGCGGCTGAGTCCGCGCTCACCACCTGTACCTCTGTCTCCTCTCTCGGGTGGACCCCTCTCTCTGGGTACACGCTTTGGGAGTGCAGGGGGAGGCCGCCGACGCAGGGGGCACTGAAGAAGGGTCCCCGAGCTGGAGTGAGCTACAGTGGGGGTCTGGGGGGAGTCTATCTGCAAACCTTCCGGTTCTGCAGGGCAATTCCTGCCACATAGGGGCAATTCCTAACCATTTTTTTTTTTCTCGGTGACTTGATGGTTCTGTCAAAAGCCCTACTCTCCTTTCATAGTTACGTTTTGGCCTCTCCCGCAGTTCCTCTGGGACCCTCCTCCCACCCCAACACTATTCCCCGGGGAGAAAAGTTAGACTTTGTTGTGGGCAAGAAGGGGAGTCCTTTTCCTACTCTGTGGCCCCCTTCCGGGACCCCGGGCCTTCCCTATAAAGATGTCCCCGGTTTTGTCGCACTTCCATCCAGGTATGTGATTTATAACCAGGATGCAGGGTCCTGAGATCAGAGATGACAGAACCTCTGATTTATACCAAATGAGCCCCACGGGATTTAAAGCTCCTCCACTAGCCCACAATGGGCTCCTCTCTCGGAGCCCACCCCACCCCTTTAACATTTGCAATCCCAGGGGAGGACAGGGAAACTTCTTTGAACAGCCCTCCCTCATCTCTGGGGAAACCAGTTCCAACGTTTCAGAATTCTGTTCACTGATAAGGATCTGCCCTTCTCACTTCTTGCACCCCCCCTCACTCCCCATATTTCTAACCCCTACATAACCAGGACCCCAGGAGACCCCATTGAAGGTCACCAGATTAGCAGCACTGCTTATTAAGAGCGAAGCTTCCACATGCTCTTCTGATCTCTGCCCTATTTTTCTGGATATTTCTGTATGCAAGCCACTGTCCCACTTGGCCCTTCACGTTGTGGTCCCTTGGCAGATGAGAAAGGACGTGAACGAGCAGGTAAATTGGAGCTCCTGATGGCTGAGGAGGAAGGAGGGAAGTCAACAAAGAAGTGTATTGTGTACTCTAGAAGTTGAGCTGAAAGATTAAGAGGTAAACTGATGTCAAAGCTAAACTGATTCTCCAACTCTTCTGGGATTCAGCTCAAGCCCAGAGGGGATCTGTCTGCCTTGACTCTGTGCTTCATTACAGAGTCGGGATGTTTTCCTTTGACCTGGAGCATGTTACATTTAAAGCCAGCCTTAAAATCACACATCTTGCAGAAAATAGGATTCCTCAAGTGTAGCGGGGCTTTGTGAATGAGAATACCCACAAATCATGTTGTGTTGTGAGAGCCACGGCCCCTCTCTCTTCGGCAGTTTTTAAATACACCTTAACAGGAGCAACCTTTGGTGGCTTTGAACTATTGTTTCAAAGGTCCTTTTATTGATGTCAGAAATCCTAGAACCCCTGGAAGTCACAGTGACCGCAGCAAAGGGAAAAGGTGGTCTTGGTAAGACCTTTAGAGCTCTCTATCTTGAAGTCTCTGTAATTAGTTGGACCTGTGGGATGGGGCTTTTAGCGTGTTCCATTAAAAAATAAAGCAAGACATATGTTCTGTCAAAGCTTTGCACCATCACATCCATTAACGGTAACAAGAGTTAATCTCAACAAGGTCATAAATCTTCCTATGTAACTAAGTACTTCAATCTCCTCCTCTAAGTGCATTTCTTGAGTGGGGATTCTGAGTGTGTAGGCCTGTTTGGCTAAGGTAACTCTCACAGAATACACCCAGCAAATTTCTGTAGTGGCAGTGAAGGGACTTGAGGTTGAGATATTGCGATTGGACCTGTGCTCGGTGGAGGAAGCAATGAGACTGGGTTTACCCAATGCCATATCCCAAGTATACCCTGCCCTCCTGAATAGCTTCCTTCCGGATTTCTCCAGGAGCCAGGAGCTTCCTTTGATTATCCCTCTGCGTCTCCTTCCTGACCCTTAAATGTCAGCCCTCTTCTCTTCCCCTTGGAAGAAGAACACACTCACTCTTCCATGTTCTCATCGAGCCTCGTGGCTTTCAATACTATCTCTACACGGACGATTCTGCAATGTGCATCCCCAGCCGCAGTCTCTCCTTTGAACCCCAGGGTTATCCACCCAACTACCTATTAGGTCTCTTACATGTAATATGACCACATCATCAAAATCAAAAACATTTGTGCTTCAGAGGACACTATAGGAAGTGAAAAGACAACTCACAGAACAGGGGGGAAATTGCAAGTTATGTATCTGATTGAGACTTGCATCTATTAAGAAACTATTACAAATAGACAATGCAATTTGAAATTGGGCAAAGGATCTGAATAGACATTCCTCCAAAGAAGATATACAAAAAGCCAATAAACACATGAAAAGATGCTCAACATCATTAGCCATCTGGGAAATGCAAATCAAAACTACAGTGAGATATCACTTCACAGCCACTAGGATAGCTAAAATCAAAGAGACAGATAATAAATGTTGACAAGGAAGTGGAGAAATTAGAACCCTCATATACTGCTGATGGGAATGTAAAATGGTTCTTCAAACTGTTAAACATAAAGTTACCATATGATCCAGCAATTGTATTCCTAGGTACACACACAAGAGAAATGAAAACATATGTCCACACACTAAGTTGGACACGAGTGTTCTTATCACCATTATTCATAATAGCCAAAAGGTGGAAATAGCCCGATGCCCATCAACTGATGAATGGATAAATAAAATGTGAAATATTTATAGTGTGGAATATTATTCATCAATAAAGAGAAATGAAGTAATCGTGCACACCATAACATAGATGAGTCTTGAAAACCTACTAAGTGGAAGAAGCCAGTCACAGGGCACCACATATCTTATTCCATCTATAGGAAATGTCCAGAATCAGCAAATCTAGAGGGACAGAAAGTAGCGTAGCACTTGCCTAAGGCCGAGGGGAAGGGGAAGGAAGGATCAGCAGGTGACAGCTAAAGAGCACAAGGTTTGTTTTGGGGGTAATGAAAATGTTCTAAAGTTGATTGTGGTGGTGGAGGAAGAACTCACAGATTAATATACTAAAAGCCATTGAATTGTATACTTTAAATAGGTTCACTGTGTGGTATGTAAGTTATATCTCAATAAAGCTGTTTTTTTAAAAAAAAACTTTGTTATGGCAAAAAAATTATAATATGGCCAAATGAGGACTTTTGATTTTTCCCTCCTCCCAAACTTGCTTCCTGCTGCCTTCTAAGGAGACATGACCAGTCTTCACCGGGTCCTCTAACCAAATAACCTGGGGTCATCCTTGACTTGCTTTCCTGATACCCCCACATTCAAGCCAGCAAGCCCTTAAAGAAAAACCCCAAATCAACCACCTCTTACCACCCCTCACTACTCCCACCTTGCTCTAGTCCATCATTGTCCCTTTCCTGGTCCACTGCCATCAATTCTCCATTATTCCCTCTGCCTCCTCTCTTGCCTCTTAGAATTCACTCACCCACCCCCCACCCAGCAACGTCTGCTTTTTAAACCATGTGTTCAATCCCGTTCCCTTGCAAAAAATACCCCTGCTCTTTCCCACCATATTTTGAAAACATCCCAACATCTTACCAGGCCTTTGCCCACCTTCCCAGCTGTCTCTCTCCCCACTCCCCACCCCTTGCTACCTCCAGATCAGCTTTTTTGCTATTCTTCAAACACTCCAAGTTCATACCCTCCTCATGGACTGCTCCCACTCCCTGGAACATTGTTTCCATAAATCTCTGTGTGCTTCTCTTTTTACACCACTCAAATCTCCACTGAAATGTCAGCTCCTTGGGAGCCTCTACCTAAAGAAGGGGTCTTCTTCTCACTTTCCCGGGGTCTCTCTCTCTGCCTCCTTACCTAGCTTTATTTTTATGGTGCTTATTCTCATCTGAAATAACAATGTAGTCGTTGACTTATTTATTCTGTCCCCCAGCGCAATGCAGTCCCACAAGAGTAGGGTTTTTGCCTTTCTTTTTCACCGATATATCTCCCCGCCTAGAACAGTACCTAGCACATTTTAGGAGCTGGATAAATGTTCGTTGAATGACTCAGTGGATGCTCTCCCAGGAAGCAGCATGGAGAATGGACATTTCTCACTGGCCATCACCAAGGCAACAGAATGACTTATCCCCCTGGGGGGACTCCATTGCTGACTCTTTGTGGGGCAGCAGATTCCACAGAGGGCAAAGCAAGAAGGACTCTTTGTAGTATCCAAACTGGATCCACAAGCCAGAGGCAGATCCCAGGCAGAGAAATTTGCATCTCATTTACTGCCCCCAGTCCCCCTCCCCCAACCGCTTTCCTTTGTCCAAACAGCCTTTCAACTACCTTCACATTTATGGACACATAACAAGCTTCCTTATAAAACTGGAGAAAA